TTTTTTTTTTTTTTTGTAATTAGACTAAATATTTGTATAGGTTTTTGACGATGAGGTCTTTTGATTCACGAGAAAAAAACATATTTGGCAGCTTGCATGCATCTCAGCCGATATTGAGAAAGGGTTGTTAAACTCACCAAAGCCCGGGAGAGAAGGACTTAAGCACTTACTAGACTGTAGAAATACCAGATTCGTAACGTTTGATGGCTGGGAAAAAATTGATCTTGAAGAGAAAAGGCGCGGGAGTTTGAAAAATAAACCTCGAGAAAAGCTTACTACATGGGATGAGCTACTCAAAGTTGCCTGTGAATGAAGACAGATTTATTGTTCTAAAGAAAAACATTCAACCCACACGGGTTGAGTTAACTTCCAATCAACAGGTACGGAGAAACATCTCATAACTCTTGACATAATTATAGAAAGGCAAATTGCAATTTTTTATTCTTGTTGGTTTAACCTCATAGCAATTTTAATCCCAAAGTTCCAACCTTTCACCTTTTGGTCTTGTGATTGAATATTTTGCTGCAATAACAGGAAATTGTAACAAATTTACAAATTCACAAATTTTCGCTTAACAATTTAAGTCACGTACTTGTTGCAATTTCAGTACTATAATTTAAAGTTTGTTGCAATTTCAGTCTTTAAAGGACTGAAATTGCAGCAAAATATGAAATCACAGGAACAAAAGGCATAAAGTTGGAACCTTGGGACTAAAATTCCTATGTCGTTAAACGAACAGAACTAAAAATGCATTTTTCCCTTATAGAAACATTTTACAAACAGCTTTCAACTTTGCATTTTTCTCCTAGAAATAAAAGCTGTTTGAAAATCACGGACCCCAATCATGCCATTTTTTTTTTGCAGGTCAGAGATTTTTTTTTTTTGTCCACATGGGCGAACTCGGAAATATGTTCTTCATTTTGTTCTTTCGAGTGAATATTTGGAAAATCGAGCAATGGCATATGAAGCTATGAACCATGATTCTTTACTAGTTCTTGCATGGATCTCATAGCTCTTATAGGTAGTCTTAGAAAGATGAAAGAACTGAACTTATATATATGAATGGACAAACCCAGGACTGCTCTGTTTTATGCACAAATTCATCTTATTTTTATATTTTTAATTCAGTATTTAATTTGTCAAGGTTTGCTGCTGCCTTCTGTAATTAATATTTAATAACCCATAAAATCACATCTTTCACTTTCACTTGGACATTGATATATAGTTCCATTTATGACTATATGTTCAATATTAGAAAGTTGCTAATTAAATATTTGTGAATACTGAATTGTATTTTTATATTTTATCCTACTACAGTGATGGGCATGGTGATGTGGACAGCAATTACCAAGTTAGTTGCCACTCAAAATTTAAGCATAATTTATACTCCCTCCGTTTATTTTGAAATGTTATTTTGGCTTTATCAACTATTAATCAAAATAATTATTAACCAAAATAAATGACATTTTGTTCTTTTCTACATATTTTTCCGTTATTACCTTCACTTAGCTGATAAATATACTACGTTTTTTCATATTCACTATTCATCTTTTTCCCATAATATTCATCTTTATCTTCATTAAATAAGGTTATTATTGGTAAAAAAAATATTCTTAAGTACTGTATAACTTCTCAAAATGACATATATTATGAAACGGAGTGAGTATATTTTATCTTTGAAGTGCTAAACAAAATTCCATCATATCATTGAAGGATATTGAAATGGAATAGTAAATCACATGTAATTATTTTTTTTTTTTAACAAATGGTAATGCATATAATATACATATCTTTCCAAAAGGAATATTGATCACAAGAAGATCAAATAGCTTTATTACATATTCAAAGGTACAATCATGTGGACAAAAGCATAATACACCAATTAAAATGTATTTTGTCATACATCGATAAAACGGAAATAAGAGAGAAATTAAAATTACATACATATATTAGCATATATTTGGTTTTACGAAATAATTAAGCACGTTTTGAAGTTTAATCAAAACAAATTCATTATCCTTCCCCTTATGCTCGATATATCCACACCAAACCTTGGAACTTTTACCTGCCATGCATGAAATAAAGAATCACTTATTTATCACGAAATTTGACTGAATTTGTACACACATATATATATATATATAGCTATAGTACTGGTGCGAGAATCGTATAAGATACTAATTTTAATTGTGTATGATGTTATTTTAATATTACAGGATGTTGTCATTTATACAAATATTGTTATTAGTACGTTTTGTTTTTGTTTCGACTAACATAAATCATGATTAAAAATATCACCAGCTATAATTAATCATACAATGTCTTGATTTTATAGCCAAATAGCAAATGCAAAGATGAAAATATAGACAGTTTTTGTGAAAGTATGAATAACGACCATTTTGTCTAGCGCAATGACACAAGTACCCTTACTACAAAATTTTTAATTCATTGTTTATGTCTATAATCCCCAAAACTAGTTATACAATTCAAGATAAAACTATTTAGTAATATTAATTACCACTTAATCATAACACTAGACATACTTGAAAACAACATTTCTCACCATTCTCATGTTAAAAGTTGGTCTCATTCAACCCTATCATATACATACATACATACATATTTATACATACATATATATATATATATATATATATATATATATGATAATTATATAGGATCACCTGAGCTTGGAAAGTATGATAAATCCTTTCACCAACACTGGAAATCCAGCTGACAACTTGAGCTCCTTCTTCTTCAAGTATGCCAATCACTTGGCCCACCACAAAATTCTGGTTGGGCCCAGTAATCAAGACCACCTCCAAGCTCGAGCCAGAGCCCGACTCGACTATTTCCACAGTCGGAGGAAAGTTGGTTGATGAGCTACCAATTATGCTTTTGGTGTGATGAGCCATCATCATCTCTTGTTTCTTCTTTTTCAAGTTCTCGACTTTTTCGGCTTGAAGCTTGATGTACTCGGTGGCTTTTCCCAGCTGGTCTTGCTGGGACAATAACTCCTGAAATGTATCCATACATTTTGGATTAGTACAAAAAGTTCCCAAGTTTATCAAAAACTGTAAAGGTGATCTTATTAATTAATAAACCTTTTTTGTGCTAAATCCTAGATAAAAAAAAAATGGATATATCGTAATTTTCGTACACGGAAAATTCCCAAGACATTAAGAAATTTTCACTTTTCGAAACTAAATTTTATGTGTACAATAAGGTTTTTAATGTTAGGTTCACAAGCTCTACTATGTGTGTTGAATGATATATATTGAATGTAAGCTAAGATATGTGTTATATTGTTATTTCATGCAGTAAAATGATACTGGGAAAATCACATTTAATATAATTAATTAATGCTTAGCTAGATGTTAGAACCCTAACTGATTTTGATTTTCTTTATTACTTGAAGTTATTTTTTTATACAAATTATTATATGTATCTAGACAAGTTCATTTGCTTATTAGACAAGTTTTTTGTTTGTCCAAACTGTAAAATGCATCAATGATAACAAAATTCGTGAAATGTATCGATCCAAGATCAACATTTATAAATACAAAAACGACGAAGTCGAAGTTCTATTTCATTAACCGAGCTAAAACAAAATCGAACCCTGATGCAGAAAACACTTTTTTAGATCGGATGGAAATTTCGTGAAACGTATTAGGATTAACAAAATATATATAATCGCCAAACGACAAAGTGATCAATTTTCTATTTCCATAAACAAAATCGAACTCTAATGCAGGAAACGCTTTTTACATACGAATGGAAAACAACATTTACAATGGTTATAATTAAATCGTTTAATGCGGAAAAAAAAAAAGAACCCCCTTTTCTTACAAAAATCTTACAAACCCAATAAAAAAAATATATTTTGTACGTAAATTCGTAAGGATTTCAAGCTAGCCGAGAAAATCTAGCGATGTTCGGCTAGAACGCAAAATCAAAAATGCTATAGCACCAATCGAGCTAGCCGAGGGTTTGGCAAGAGAGGCAAAACCCTAATCTGAGTAGGACTTTTATTTTTTTGCCCTAACAATAATAGCTAACTATCTGGCATTGTAACAAATTATTGAACTCATCACATAACACAATCAAGTGAACATCATATCATATATACATATATACCTTTCCTGGATTAAAATGGTCATTAGGGATGATGGAAACTAGCTCGGAGCAAAGTTTCTTCATCAAATTCCTCCTCTCCTTTTCGATCATTTTCCTCTCCACCTTATTGCCCGAGCTCGACTCGCCTTTCTTCATCTTGCAAAATTACCTAACCCTATTTTCTTTATTATCACTTAATTTTTTCCCAAAAGAAAAAAAAAAATTAGAAAAACCTTTGCACTAAGTTCATGGGTGCAAATATGAGGGTTAGGCTATATTTATGCATATAAACTCAAAAGCCTGATATGTAAAAGTCAAACATTTGGAATTGAGACTCATAACTGAGTTAAAAGCGATTGGAGTGAAAAAAATTCTTTCAAATTAAGAAAGTGACATAATTTGGCTGTGTATTTTAAATTTTTAAATTTTAATAAGACATATATGGCCGGTTCCCAGATTTGTGGTCCATGCACATGATTAATTAATTATTAATTAATTGAAGTCCATGGTACAAAAAATAAAATAAAATAAATAAATAATTAAAAATACTATTTTTTTAGCCAGCCACGGTATCTGAAGCAATGCCCCGACTAATTTGTCAGTCGACCCGAGTCGCACACCTGACAGTGGTGGGTGAGTCTCCCAACAAGGATTTTCTGCATCCACAAGGTCTCGAACCCGAGACCTTGCTTAAGCGACATCAAACTGCTTACCACTTGATTCAACCTCTGGTAAATTAATACTATTTATTTTACCAAACAGGCATTTATAGTCTATCTATATCACTGGTTTTTCAATAATATATTTTTTTTTCTTGTTGGGTACAAAATTTGAACCATAATGTAAATAAATCGTGTAACGTTTATTATAACTATATATTTATTTATATTAAAATCGGTAAAAAAAAAGTAAGAACGATAGTTAAATCGGTTCAACCCAATGGCTTAACTAGTTAACTAGTGTTAGTATTCGACCATGTGCATTTGCACAGATGTAAATAAAGTATTGTGAATTATTTGTATGCATATAATGATTAATTATTTTTTCTTTGACCTTTTTGTTGGCCAAATTTACAATTAAAAGAGTTGGAATATTTTTTTTTATTTTTAATTGCGTTTATCTGATTGGATGTAATGTGTATTTTGGTACGTCTTTTTTTGTGAATTATTTATTATTTATTTAGAAATTTTAAATACG